CACTTTATCTTTGAATTATGTTAAGATTAAACTTAAAAAACAAGAAACTTCAAGAGAAATTTATATTAGATTTAAGTCCATACGTATCTAGATTTGCACACCTTATAAAACCACATATATTCAAATTTTAAATTATGAAAAGTCCCATGAGCCTTTGCTGCCCGAGCAAACGTTGAATTTTCTCCATGTCCATGGACTGAAAAAACAAACAAACAAACAAGAAAATGTGGGCAACCGCACTGGCTGCTAGCTTAGTCATAAAAATACAACTTCACTTGAAGTATTTGCATTTCGTGTATTATATTATTGCATTTGGCTCACCACCCTCAGATTGATTTTAATTTTGGCCCTCTCAGGGAAAATGCTTGGGCATGCCTGAGCTAAACCATTCCTGGATAGGCTGGACCTAAAAATAACTCAAAAGCAACAACTTGTAGCTTCATGATCGACCTAGAAAACAATAAATCAACTCTATAAATAATATGTAAAAGCTTGAGGTTGCAGKTTCAAGCCCAGGTTACATCAGGAGGGGCAAACATTGTTTGCTCACTGTGGCAATCTGGCCAAAGGGAGCAGCTAAAGAAAGAAAAAAATACTAAGAATATCCAATATAAAGGAGGTGGTTTTAATAGACCAGCGTTCAAAAAGAAGAAAATGTTATTTTTCTGCCAGATGTTACACATCAAGTCCGGACCGAAGCACTTATCCGAGCAGTTTATGAGCAAACGAGTGGCAGAAAACTCAACAGCTGTGTCATCTCAGGACAAAGACTTCAAGACCCGCTGGAAAGGTCGGAAAAACAGGGAGTGAATAGTTGTACAGGAGCAGACATGGCATCCCAAGAGTGTCCTGCAGGAGGAGAGGAGAAGCAGCTGCAAGAGGAAGAGCTGAACTCTGTAAATCTGAGAGGATGAGGACAGAATTTATCACATCAGAGGGAGAACTACCAGACACCACGAAGCTGCCTCCTCCAGCCTCCTGAAGACCAAGATCATCTCTACAGTCTATATTATCTGGATGGGATACTTGGTGCAAAAATAAAATGAAACAATCTCTTCCAGGGGGAGAATTCACGCTGCTAAAATGAACAGTTGTTGAGATATTCACATGTGAATTAACAGGAAGTGCTGTCAAAGGAGAATGTCTGCATGCGAACAGATGCCAAAATGGCTAACAGCACAGACTGTGGAGAAGAATCTGATGTTTTTTTTACATTATTTTGAGTCTCTATCAGAGAGAGATGAAGAAGAGTCAGAGTTCAAATAATATTGTTTCGATAAACAAAGACCAGAGAGTTCCTTTTTATAGTTCCCCTTTGATGTCACATCCTGTTTCACTTTGAGCCAAGTTCAAAAGATAATATTCCAATTATGTGACCAAAGGGGTCAAATCATGAGTGTTATTCCATGTTATGTTTTCCTTGACTTTTTGTGTTTAAAGGAAACGCTCGTCTCGGGCACTTTAAAGATTCAGGGGCTGCACCTTCTTTCAGAGTAAACAGTACTTTTGTAGACACTTCAGGTAAATGGCTCCAGTCCTGATGAGGCCGTCTGTTTACATCCCAGCAGAGACGGAGCTCTGAGGAAGGTTTACTACAGTAAAACCTGCTTTAATGAGGGCGTCGCTGCAGCACTTTAGGAGCTCTTTGACTCGTAGGACAGACCCTGCAGGTGCTTGTTACCGTGCACTTAAAACAATCAAAGTACATAAAAATCCACCCACCACACACACACACACACACACACACACACACACAC